CATGTGGACCTCTCTCAGATTTGTTCGTTTTGTGATGATATCTTCAATTCTCTAATTAAAATTTATTTTGGTGAATATTTTTGTAATTTTTGGTAAAAAGTGATATTTTCGACTTCTTGTTAAAAACTGTAAGTCCGATTGCTTTGATACTATTCATATTGTTCATTTTCTAATGATGTCTTCAGTTCTTTAATTGAAATGTGCATTGCTAACAGCGGAGCTATCTCAGCCGATAGGCTGCTTGTTTTTATATACAAAAGCTACGTTCTTACACGTCTAAAAAAACGTCAGTGTTAACACTGTTTTTTTGTTGTGCAAATATTAGATAATCTGCTGAATTGTCTGCTCGCGCTCTCACTTAGTAAAAACACCGGTGTTTGAGGATTGAATGCTGGCCTTCCACCTAATATTTCGTGTAGTTCATCCCAAAATGGCATAGTTTTCGGATCTCTAACGCTTTTGTTGTGATCAGTCACTTCTCTGTACTTTATACGAAAAGTTTTGATCTTCCGTTGATATTGTAATGACGTCCTGTCCAACCCCCTTTTCAGTCGCTTTTTCTGCAATTACAGCATATACTCTCGCATCCCTAGACGTCCATCATTCTTTGAATATTCGATTCTCTACATACAGATATCAGTAATCTTATTTCTTCGTTGACCATTTTGCCATTCGACCTGTAACCGTGACCTCTGTCGCCATCTTGTGTAATGACAAGCATAAATAAGTCGGCAATAGTCGTCGTCGTATTGGTCGTCGTATTGTGTTCACACGGCACATTGTGTTGTGCAAAAACTGGTGTGACAACGGCGTTTTGGATCTGGTCCACCCCTTTTACGACGGTGTCAAAAACGCCAACGCCACAACGGCGTATTCTGTTCACACACACATTTTAACAACGTTCTCAAATAAAAGGCGTTGTGACGACTTATTTCGTCCAGTGAGAACACCACTAAAGTCTGAGTGCATTAATCAGTTAGCATCCAGAATTGAAATAGTCAAAACTCCATATTTTTGTCCCTGGTGGTTCAGGAAGGCCTTTAATTGGGATTGTAAACATAAAGCATGCAATAGCATTATTGTAAATCTATTATCAAAACATTCTGTTGTAGATTCCATTGTTCATGGAAAGTCAGAATTTGATTGTATGTAGAGCCCAGGACATTAAACATTTTATTCATTATAAATTAAATGTACAAAGTTTTGCTTAATATGTATATCTGCTGATTTCTCTCGTGAACACATGATGTGATTGTAATTTTATTTTTTCAGATTCTACCATTACACTGTGCAGCCATCAATCCTAATGTTAAGTATCTGACCAAGCTGTTGGCAGCGTTACCAGACTACAGTGCTCCGGATAGGTTAGGACGTAAACCAATACATTATGCCGCAGCATCCGAAGGCACAGCTACGTTGGAATTACTGCTTTCAAGGTAAACGGTTTCGTCATTATCAGCTATAAAACAGATCATTTAGATTATTACCAGTAACCTGGTTGATGTACAGCGCCCTCTATCATCAATCTTTGATTATTCCTTCACCAGAGGTATGAACCCTGAGGAAACAGACAATATGTGTTTAACTCCATTGATGGTTGCAGCAAAAACAGGACGAGTGCATAATATAGAAATATTAGCTAAGAAAATAAAAGATTCCAAGAATCGTGATGAAGACGGTGGTGGTTTTCAGATTGATAGAACAGACAGGGCAACATATACAGCCTTGCACTATGCTGCAGAGAACGGCCATGTGGTAAGTCAATACGTTACGCCATACTTGCGATTACACTGAGTGAACGGTATTCTATTTCTCTTCTGTGTTGTCAGCTTGAGTGTAACCTTACATTTATTTGTATAGGATGTGGTACGTGCCTTAGTTAAGCATGGCGCTGATGTTGAGAAGGTACTTAGTGCAGGACGCAATAAAATGACGCCGGTCATGTTGGCTGCAAGGAAAGGATATCTACCCACAGTCAAAGCTCTGATAGATGTAGGTGCTGCTGTTGAAAAGAGAGGTCAGTCTATTGTTTGGTTTCTATGGAGACAAAATGGTCATAATGTTGATCATGCCATTTTGGGGGGGGGGGTGCTTTTCAGCCATTTTCTAGTAATTGTCTTGAAGCTGGTTGCTGGTGTTCTATCTTTAGATTGCTTGTGTTCATTTTAGGTGTACCCGTACTTATGTATTAATAGACCAACATACATGTGGTTACTGTGAACTGTATTAGAGACAAATTTTTAAAAGTCAGTAAAAATCATATAATTTTGTAGCAGTAAAAGCAGTGAACTTCGCAAAATTTGTCTTCGCGAAAATTGCAAGCAGTAAGAATTAAGCAGTTTTACAGTATATGTGGGGATTACAGTGGAATACCTGCAACCAGTAATCATGTGCTTCAAATAAAATATCAGGAGATTGAATTTGTGTTTTGGTTTTTTAGACAAATTAAAGCGAACAGCCTTAATCCATGCTGTGATGAATGGTCACTACCCTGTGGTTTGTTATCTACTGAGAAAGGGTGCCAATCCTAATGTGAGTGATTCATCGGGAAATACAGCCGCACATTATGCTGCAGGTTATGGTTGGTGGTACTGTCTAAAAGTGTTACTAGCTGCTGGATCTGATATCAATACACCTAATGACTGGAAGGTATGTACACAATGATTGTAACTGTGTTTTCAACCACTTGATCAGTTACATTAGTAAGTCACTATGGGTTTATTCTGGATTAATTTTTATTGTGCATATTAACTTTCCAAATCTACAAATAATGTTTTATATTGCTTATATTGCATGAGTTCCTGTGTTTCAGTTTAATTGTCAGTGTTGTGTTTAATGTAACCTGGTTGTATCAATCACTAGTGATACAATTACATACTAGATCACACATGCTGATATACCTAGTTGCCCCATAGATTCAGTGAGTTATGAATTTATCTACTGTACTCTGTATACATAATGTTTGAAAACATTGTTATCAACAGACAACACCACTGGGCATTGCTGTAATGCAGGGTAATACTGGCTGTGCCGATCTCATACTGGAACAAGAAGGTGTAGATGTGAATTTCCGAGATGAGAATGGATGTACTATGGTGATGCTTGTATGTGGCAGCACGCTTGGCAAAGGTCTTACCTCTCAATTGAAATACCTAGTACAAGATAAGAAAGCTGATGTCACACTGACTGACATCAATAAGAACAATGCAGTAAGTCCAACTCTATGTTATTCACTTTAATTACTTGCTTTTCAGTGATTTAATTCATCTAATGTTGTTTATAGGGATCGTTTCTGGAGTACTATGATAAAATCTCATTGTATATATTTTAGTCTGTGATAATGTTGTTTTTTTTACGTAGTTGCATCATGTTGCCTGTAACAATATTAAAGTACAGTACTGGGTAAGTAAGCTTTCTCTCTTTGTGACTTATCATGAGTTAAACATGAACAAATGTCCCAACTACAGCAGCTAAGTCACTTTTATGAATAGACAAGACTGTGGTGACATATCTCATCCTGGATATGGATTGCTTCTTTTTCACTATTTAATTCCAATACATGGGAACCCACAATCTGAATCACATTCTTCCTGGTATTTCAAACACCTTGTATTTAAAAAACTAACAAATTTTATAGTTTGAGCATTGCTGGGAGATACTGGGTATTACATCTGTGATGATTGTTAGTTCTTATGTGGGCTAAATCCAAAAACAAAGACGATTTATTCTGTTCAGTCAGAACTAAATAAATCCAAAACTTGGTGAAAACAAATGCATACTTATCGGTATTCACATTTTGTGACAATATGTGTAAATTACATGCTGATTTGCAAACCACTGACCCTGCCTCTTCCACAGTTGAGATGTGCATCGCTATTATATAAAGTTACAGTATCTAGTACACCACAGTCCTCCAACAAAAACAGGGACCTCTAATACCCACTCCTTGTGAAACAATGACTGCGATCTTAATATCAGTGACCTTATATTATTTCAGAATGTAAATTATTCATGTAAACTATGTCATTGTTCATGACTATTTTCTAATGAATGTAATATTGATTTTGTTTAACTAGGACACTATTGATACCAAGAAAGTGTCAGTGAGTTTGGATGTTGCCAAGATCCTTTTAGACAATGGATGTAATCCGTCCACAGTGAATACATTAGGAGAAACGCCTATTGCCATGGCAATACAGCAGGTATAACAAATATGTGTGTTTCACAACTGTGCAAATAAGCACTACAGGATTTGTTTGCTATGGTAATTCAGATTTTTTGTGTTGAATGAAATGCTACAATATTCCGATGATAATCATAATTTCATAATAAAAACTATTAACAAATGTACTTTTTAAAAAGTACATTTTTGAACTATGCTTATTCAGTTCATTAACTTATAAAATTGATGAATTTATCTGATTTCTGATTAAAAATAGTAAAAATTTAATAAATGTATCAATTGAAAAAATGTATTTTTTAAAGAAACACTCTCTGAACTCTAATTCTATGCATCTGATTATGTTTCAGAATAATACTAAGTTAGTACAGCTGTTGGTAGATAGAGGTGGTAAACTTCTAACTGAAGACAGTGATATTAGTAAAATTGGAGAAAACATACTTCATATTATGGCCAAGCAGTGTATGGCTAATGATCTCTCCATTCTTATTGAAACATTTGTGAAAACGGTAAGTAACTGTCTGAGAGCTGATTTCATATTGGGTCCATACACCTAACTTATCTGTTTGAATTCTTGCATGTATAATTCTTCTCTGCTGTTAAACAGTTGATGGTTTATTCAGTTTCAGGGCACAATCACTATTATAGTTAATGGTTTATTCAGTTTCAGGGCACAATCACTATTATAGTCAATGGTTTATTCAGCTTCAGGGCACAATCACTATTATAGTCAATGGGTTATTCAGTTTCAGGGCACAATCACTATTATAATTAATGGTTTATTCAGTTTCAGGGCACAATCAGTCTTATAGTTAATGGTTTAATTAGTTTTAGCTTATATTGTCCAACTTAGTAGCACTATCTTGATTCGTGTTCGACATTTGTCACAAACATGGTGACCAGCAAATATGTTAATAAATGACATAAAATGTGTTATATTCCAGAAATCTGGTGGTAATGATTGTGGTGATGGTGATAAAGAAAATTCAGTATTACATAAGATGAGTATGCAGAAAGATAAGGAGGGTTTCACGCCATTACTACGATGTGCTGCAGTATATGCAGATTTCAATGTAAGCAACATATACATTTCAGGGACTTTTTAATTATTAAATATTGTTCAATTACCGTACTTCTTACATTCACTACTTCTATATCATCTATTTTCATTTTATCAGTTGTTAGTATGTACATTATAAAAACTATTAAATCTTGGCCAAGTGTGATTGTTGTGACTTACATGCATAATTTATGAGATATGGTAAATATGTATTGTACACTATCTTAAAATTCAAATTAAAAAACAAAGCAAACAAGTGTCATAATGGCATTAAAACATCTTGTAGATTGAAAAATGCTAAACTATATTTTGGGTATTTCCATTTCTCAATAATGTGCTATACACATTTGATGGTTGTCAATTTCGATAAGTAAAGATATCTCAATCAGATATTCTTCTCTAAAAGATAGAAATTTCGACAACTATCTGTATAAAAAAGTTCAAAATAAGATCATTGTTTTTCGCAGCAGACATTCGAACCACATATGTATTATGTGACTTCTCATAGTGAACAGTAAATCTTCTATTTCAGGAATTATAATGGTCAATGAATAAAATCTCCACTTGTTGTGATTTTCAGGTGAACATTGTTTAATTATTTGTGTGTTTGATCTACAGCCAGAAGCACAGCACAGTAAAAACGAATCCGAAAGACAGAAGATGATGGAAAACGGACGCGCTATGTTAAAGGTAATGTTACAATTAAAGTTGTAAGAGTACCCTAATTGGGTCAAATATGTAGTAATATAAATTTTGCTCTGTGCACAATATACAAATGTTAAAGTGAAATATCTGATCTAAATTTTTATAGGTGTTTATTGAAAAGATAAAGGCTGATGTGAACTGCCAGGTCGGCAAGCGAGAGAAGATACTTGATACAGAAGAAGATTATAATACCAGAGGTAATCATTTTTTTGTTAGAATTTTTGAAAAACAAATTAAATATAGAAGTATAATGTTTATGACAACTCTAAAATAAATTGAAGCTGCGTAAACAGCATCACTATGGTCCAAGTATTGCAAACCAATTGCAATATTGTCATATTAAATGTAATTTGTATAAACTTTGCCTTAAACAAAACAAATTCCATTGTCTAATGCTGATTCCTTGTGAGCTCAACTATGCAAATATGATTTATTATCATAAATGATAAAAAGTGATATTTTCGACTTCTTACAAACTTCAAGTCTATCTAAGATTTGTAAACTATATCTTTAATTCTTTAACTTTGGTTAATTCTTAAATTTTTGGTATTTTTGTGGGGATAATTGATATCTTTGACTTCTGCTAAAAAAATGGTAGTCCAAGTGAATTAATTAATATTTGTATGCAGGTACCTCTAAGATTTCTGAAAGAACATTTTCTTAAAACTACCTATAACAGTTAAAAAAAACTTTGAGAGGGAAATAAAAGAAGGAAGAATCATAAATATATATCCATTTGCTTCTACCCACACCATTAATATGTAATTTTAGGAAGAAATCAAAATGTTTGATTATTCATCAAATTTACTTAGCGTTTACATCACCATGTTTGTTTCACCAATCAAGTTTTATTTGTGCTTATCAATATGTATGTGTACAATTTTATGTCAGTTTAATTATAGTAACCTCATTGTTCTTGTTCTTTTTTACAAGAATTTTTACCACTCTCACCTTTACCTTGTATGTACCTTACACTACAGGTTTTCTTGGTTACACTTGTTTAATTTAGTCAATATTTTTCCTGCAAATGTTGGTGAGATATAGTGTTTCAGAACTTTTATTCTTTCTCTTTTGCTCGGGGAGATTAGAATTACTAATCAGCGAGTGAATTGTTAGATTGTATCCATCCTGAATGTGTGTTTATTTTTTAATATCTGTATTGTCAATAGACAAGGTCATAATAGTTATGCTATGTTCAACATATTGGAGACGACACACATTTCTTCACTTTGCATGTCACAGGCAACATACAGTTGGTTGACAATGTATGTATTCCCTTTTGTCTTATAGGTTTACAAAGTATATCACATGTGTTAATAAGCACCAATGAAAAGCCTGTGAAAGAAGGTGATAAAACAACAGATAGACCTGCCCTAAGTATGATACTTAAACATGAACCAAATTTAAACCTTCGAGATAAGGATGGCAACACCCCATTGTTGTTGGCGATCCACCAGAAGAATAAAAATGCAGCAGAAATGCTTGTAAGTATGATGATTTTAATTGATTATTTGCTGGTATATGTACCAATTGATTTTGAAAAAATAATTCTTCACAAATTGTTTTCTGAAGTACAATTAAAGCCTGTTATTATTTTGATGTCATTGACAGATTTCAGCAGGAGCTGATGTCAACGCTGCATCGGAAAATGAAAAAGAAGATGGAAAATCATTACCCATCATTCTTGCTGCTAGGTAAGGTCACGTTGCAATGCATTCTGGGTAGTATGAAGGTTATGATTTGTAGTCTTATGATTAACAATTCAATGCTTCCTGAGATTTAACACTAAGTTTTCAGAAATACGGAAATAAATTATTATGAATGAATTGCATCAGAGTAAATGGGACTCTTTGAGGAGACTAATTATACCAATGTATTACTTGTATATAGGGAAGGACTGTATGGTATTGTAACTAAGATTATAAACAAGGGAACTAATGTGAACGCAGTTGATTGTAGAAATGATAAAACAGCTCTGCATTTTACATGCAGCTACATCACATGTAAGTAAACTGTAAACATATAACATCACATAGTAACAAGAATAAGTCAAGAAATTAAGCATACTCATGTACAAGAACTATTCAACGTCTGTGAGATTGTTCATTAAAATGAATGAGCAAGCATGACACCTAATGGCAGTAATGTCATTATTTCAAACTACCGTACTCGACCGTGTTAGCGCCCAGGGGCCTCAACTCAGAAAATCATGATTTTTTAGGGGTGGGCGCTTACCCGAGCACCCCTTTCGAAAAAGAGTGCAAATGAAAATTTTGATTCATCATGTGACAGTTTACGTCTTTGAGGGAAAATCAAATTACGAAATTAGTTGCGTCGTCATTGATTTTCACAATGAAGAAACAGAAATGATCACAAAAAATATGCACATTTTATTACAATATTAATTACGTACCACCAGAATTTATGAAATTAAAAACATTAGAGTCTGTTGGAACACAGTCTTAGTCAAAATTCTCATCCTTATCTCCACTGACGAAGGTGTTGGATCGTATGCAATCTTTCCGCCATGATGCATTTGCAGATTTGACCTGCAGCAGCGTCCTTTGACCAAATGGGTCAAGTTGGTTATTAACCAATCAGATTGCTGTATTGTACCGACGCAATTCTTCGGAAATTCCCGAAGACTTTCCGGTAACGCAATGCAGAAGTGAATTATCGATGTCGAAGTACAATCTGTTGGAATTGATTTCAGCGAATAAACGACATGGTTTTTCCAAAAAACTAATAACTAGCCATTTTTTAGAGGTAAACTGAATATGGCATGAAATATTTACCGCACTTTACTTTTATTAACAGGTCATTGTCGAAGCATAGTTTACGCACGGTTACCGTGGTCTACGCATTTACAACATATTCACAGGGGTCGATATCCATGCTGTATCATATAAAAACGATTACCAAGATTTGTTACGCAAGACCAAGTTTTAAATTAGTTGCATTTTGAAGGGGTGGGCGCTTTGCCGAATGTGACCCCAAATATAAAAATTGCGCACAAGTCGGGGGCGGGCGCTTGCCTGGGCATGGGCTCTAACGTGGTCGAGTACGGTTAATACCCCCCTCACCTCACTTGCATAAGTATACAAAACCATGTTTAAAGCAAAGTTAAAACACTGTCTTTTTAATATTTGATTCACAATATTTGTTTGTTTTTCTTTATTTGAAGATGTATTTGATTAAACTATAACATTATGTATACAGGGTTTAAGGACCTGTCTAGTTCTGATGAACTATATCTGTAATCTCTACCAAAAAAAAAAAACTATTCTAACTAGCATTCATTTATTTATATTATTTCATGTATGATTTATACATTTAATGTTGTTTTAATTTTTTTTGGTGAAATAAATTTAACATGATGCCTGGGGGAGTTCAATTTTAATATTTAATTTCATATCGATTTAATATAGGATATTTAACTTCAAAATTACACCTCCCTAAATATGTTTACATTTACCGAATTACATGTATTTTTCCCCAAAACAGCTGGCCATGAGACAGCATCAGCCGTGAGGTCACTTATAGAAGCAGGAGCTGACGTAAATGCTATGGATAATAAGCTGTGTACTCCATTACACTATGCCGTGAATAGCAATACTGGTGGACCAGACTCGTCCGTAGAAACAGAGGAAATTCTGCTGGAAAAAGGAGCAAACCCCTTAGTGAGAGATAAATACAATAGACTGCCATTGCATTATGCATTAGTTAAAATGGGTGAACATACTGATAAATCACAACTAGATCCTATTGAAGTGGTTAGCTTATTAACTAAAGCTATGAATGATAAAGGAGTTGATAGTACAGATAAATATGGACAATCGGTATTACATAGGGCTGCATTCAGAGGTGCTGCAATATCCTGCCTTCATATTACAACTCATAAAGCCAAGGTGAGTTACAACGATTTGTGCATGACCTTTAAATCCTGGTACATGTACACACACTTCATGTATATCTCTTCCTAGCCAACATTATATCTATCAATATTCCTTTTTTTACCTTGCCCATAATGATGCATATTTTTATCATTATTAACACTTCTTGTGGCTAGGATAATGGTGGCATATATGATGTGGTCGATAAGCACTTTTAATTTTACCTTGCTTGTATCATCCGATGAAGCAAAGAAATTCTTCTTCCTCTTTGTTGTTTTTGTCTTAAACCCTTGTTTCTTGTGGTTGCAATAATTCAATTTCACTGTGATTATTATTATATATAATTTTCATGATATATGTGAAAATTGGGCCCAAAATAAATTAAAAAGTTTAGACATAAAAATGAGAACCTGATGGTCAGTACTATACTCCCCAAGATCTGTTAGTAACCAGATGTGTTGTTCTTCTTATGTAGACAATAATATTTTTCTGCCAAAATCATACATGGCTTGTATATTTTTTTCGCTAAAATTTCGCTTAGATCAATTTCTACTCTATTTAGGGAATGTTATATTCTATAAGGGATTATGAGATTATTTTTATTATTTCAATATGGAACTATTAAAGGTATGAAATGTTATTTTGCAATTAATAATACCTGCCCCTGTCTGATATTCACCAGTATGGTAAACAAATAACAATCCATCAACCTTGTTGAGATATAATAATTTAGAACATTCATACTATTGCTGTCATATTTAATCTGTTAGCGTAAGAATAATACTGTACATTTAATATGTATATGATATAGAAAAAGACTAACTCAGTATAGTTTTCAAATAATGGGCCAATAATTTTTTTTGTTTCTTGTTTGCAGTGGAGGATAGACTTAGATCAAAAAGATAACCATGGTAATACGCCATTAGGTCTGGCTGTACAAGCAGGACATGACAGGTAAGGGCTATGTCATCTTTGGAATATATGTGGAATAACAGACAAGGGCTATGTCATCTTAAGAATGTGTGTGGAATGACAGACAAGGGCTATGTCATCTTTAGAGTGTGTGTGAGGAATGACAGGTAAGAGATATTTCATCTTTGGAATATCTGTGAAATGACAGACAAGGGCTATGCCATCTTAGCAGTATATGTGGAATAACAGACAATGGCTATGTCATCTTTGAAGTATATGTGGAATAACAGACAAAAGCTATGTCATCTTTGAAGTATATGTGGAATAACAGACAAGGGCTATGTCATCTTTGAAGTATATGTGGAATAACAGACAAAAGCTATGTCATCTTTGAAGTATATGTGGAATAACAGACAAGGGCTATGTCATCTTTGAAGTATATGTGGAATAACAGACAAGGGCTATGTCATCTTTGAAGTATATGTGGAATAACAGACAAGGGCTATGTCATCTTTGCATGTCTTCATATTTGAAATGCCATGTTTTATTTGTTGTTAATTTCAGTTGTGCAATTCTTCTAATTCAAAATGGTGCGTGTACGAATATCAACATTGTGTATCCCCCTGAAAAAGTCTCGACAAAAGACCTTGAAAATGAAGAAGGAAAGCCTGTGAAGCCAATCTGGAAGTACTGTCCCACAATCTTACCACCTCCTAAACCATTTGAATACTCATTATTTCACAAAGTTGTAGAAAATGGATGGCAAGGTGTCGTGTTTTTACTCATGGAACAGTGGGAATTAAAACGATATGAATATGCTAGTGCTGTTAACGTAAGTAATAAATGTACCCAGTAGAAATATAATTTGTTGTCTCTAAATTACTTTCTTGTACAACAGCTGCTTGTCATTCATTCTTGCATGGTCTATATTTTGTTATTATACACAAGATTTGTTAACCTTTTCACCACCAGTTCCCTCTTTTCATCTCAAATTCACGAAATAGTCCTTTTATAGTCTGCAATTTCCTTTAGGAGATTGGGACAAAAATAGTAAAAAATTTTTTAGTAAAACTGAAAATGTACTCATATTTTGTCTGTTGGCTCCAAAATTAAGGTTCATTTCTAGAAATATTGAAGAATATTAAAAAAAAGCAAACAAATTTAGGCAAGAAAGTTTGGTGCTGAAAATGTTAAACCAGCAATTATATATGGCTGTTTTTTTCCCATATACTACAGAGTGCATTAGAAGCATATGCGTATCAATTAGTGTCAAGCATGTTACGAAAACAGAAAGACCACAGTAGACTACAAGTGATTATTAAGAAAGCTAGGAATCTTCTGCATACATTGGCACTAACTGGTAGTCAAGATACTGATGAACATGTTCAAGATCAGTGTCTGAAGGTAACATTCCTTTCTTTGTACAGGTCTATTCTAAACCATTGCGTTCATTAACTGTGTTGTTACATGGTTATATCGTATCTTCATTTGGTGTTCCTGCAATCTCTTTCTCCTATGTCTTGTCTTTCTACAGATAGGGGCAGACTTATTGACACATGGTCTTAAACTGACAGTCCGAGATGTCTATGGTTGTACTCCTATACATTATCTGGCAGTTATGCAGAATAATAAATTATTGAAACTGTTTCTTGGTAAGTTGTGATGGTGTATGAATATGGTATTAAAATTATATTAATTATATGATATACAGTCAAAACTCGTTAATACGAACTCGGTTACAACGAAATACCGGTTACAACGAACGAACACCGAAGTCCCGTTTGAAAATCGATTATCCCTATGGTAATTGACAACGCTTAGAACGAACTCGTTTATTACGAAAACCCGCTTAGTACGAAAGGATTTTCTCTGAAAAACAATGGTCTGTAACACCTATAGCGAACATTTCATTCGCTCAAACAGCTGCGAAATCCTAAAACGAACCGCCAAATACACGGTCTTACGCTTCCGCTGTTGGCAGTGGGCTTGAGCTGTGCAGCGTAAAATAAAAACAATGTAGCCATTCACTGGGCGTGAAAATCTTTTGTGTACGTGACTTCCAGTGTCTAGTCACTTTCGACGCCTTTGCTGCTCGAGTTTTTAATTTTAAGATTCACAATAAAAAAGTGTGAAGCATGGACGCTGTAAATTTTAGATAAATTACGGCGACTACGAGTAAGATGCCAGTTTCCGTCCTGACTTCAAAATGTCAACTCGTGTCAAACGGCGTGCCTTGTCGTTGGACTGTAAAGTCCAAATGATCAAAGCGATTGAGTCGGGCATTCGTCACGGCGATGTCTGTCGAAAATTTGATGTTAAACCCAGTACACTGTCAACGATTTTAAAGAAAAAAACTGATGTTTTGAAGATGTTCGAACACAACAAAATTGAGCCGTGCCGGAAGCGAATGCGGTTTTCAGCAGTCGACGACGTTGAGCAGGCATTGCTGAAATGGTTTACCAGTGCCCATTCTATGAATGTCCCAATCAGCGGTCCTATCCTCCAGGCAAAGGCCGAAGATTTAGGACAGAGAATGAAGCATTCCGAATTCAACATTTGTATTTTCCATTTTAATATTATTTTAATAAACATGACAACGTTTATTTCAATACTATTTGTGTGTTTTTAATGCTTGGTCTAGTGTTTAAAATGGCGCCATAGTTTTGTTTACCCTGACTTATGGTAATTAGTTTGTTTCTGTAAAGCGCCCTCTAGTGGTGATCGGTTATTACGAACACCGGTTATAACGAAAATATTCACCTGGGGCCTTGATATTCGCACTAACGAGGTTTGACTGTATTATATAATCTGAATATATAGATTTGTATATCTACAAGCAATGTGGCAGGGCCTGTAAATTGGATTTTATATTTTTAACGGCATGATTAACTGAGGTCTCAATGCATTATCTTGTGTTCATTTTGTTGCAGAGAAATGTGCAAGTCAAGTGAAAGAGTGTGTAACGATAGCAGATAACAAGGGTAGATTACCAATAATATCATTACTTTGGGACAGTGTGTTTGATGAACAGACCAAAGATATGATAAAGTATGTAATATTAACCAATAATCATGCTTGTATCTTTTGTTGGACTTGTACTTTCCTTTGAACTTGTTTCCTTGAACATCTTTGATTGATGCTTGTGGTTTGTCATGAGTAATCATTTTATTTTAACCTTTTCACCACCAGTTCCCTCATTTCATCACAAATTCACAAAATAGTCCTGTTTATAATCTGCTCCTTCCTTCTGAAGATTTGGACTAAAATAGCCCTGTTTTTTGAGTAAAAAATTGACTCAAATTTTGTCTGTTGGCTTTAAAATTAAATTTCATTTCCAGAAATATTATAGAAACAAAAAAAAAATTATTATGCTCTTTTCATTTACAAAATCTGACACTATGATTGAAAAGAAGAAACATTGACATTGTGTTTTTGCTTTACTGCAGGCTATTGATAGAAAATGGGGCCACCTTGAACTGTGCAGGAGTATTCCCCAAGATAGAATACAAAATATTTCAAGATCAGAACATCACAGGTTATGACGCTGAGGAATGGTTTGTATCATCGGCTGCAGGACAACAAGAATTAACACCCCTAATAGTAGCTATTCATAGGAAGAACTTCCAAGCCATCAAATTCTTACTTCAAAATGGTGCAGACGTGAATTACTGTGATAAGAATAAAATGTCACCACTTATGCATGCAGCAAAACAGGTATGGAGTGTATTTTAAAAGTTGCAATACCATTCTGGCAATTTTAGAATTTTGTTTTCTCTAAATCTTGTTTCAATGCAAAATTACCACAACTGGTGTGTTCTGTATTCATTGTTATTACTTATTCATGATATGTAGTGGTGTTACTAAACCCCAGGGTGGAACACTTCCAAAAATACTGGCGTGTACTTGCGCAAAACATTTTATGCATCAGGCCAGGTCAGACTAGAAGCTGGTTTTCATTGGTTGGCACAATTAATGCTACTCATTAGCATACTTATCACGTCAAAAACATGGTGACAACTATAGAGGGCGTGGCGAAACGGACAAGTCATGAAAATTTTGTGTCAATGTCAATGAGATTCTACAAACTTGTTTTTCAAGGAATTAAAATGTAAAACAATAAAATTAGATATCATTGTATGGGGCTCTTTATACATCTTAGTCATCTCCATGGAAACCATTTTGACAGGGCATTTACCCGTACAGTATTGCTCTAGGTATGTATGTGATAATATAAGTGACAGGGTTTCTACTTTCAATACATGTAGCTAAAATAAGTCAGATTTTAATGATAAGACAGAAAATAAAGTCAAGCCAATCTACTCTTATTACCAAATGTCTGGTGTCAACTTTTCTTTTTCAATTTGTCTTTAAAACTGTAAGACCTATGGCTTTAATAAATATCATACTTGATTCTCCCCAAATTTGTTCTTTTGTTTTATGATGATAATTTCAATTCTCTTTTTTGGCATTTTGAGTAAAAAATTCTTCTTGAAAATGGCTACTCTGATTGAGTTGATATTTTGAATATATAATATAAAAGAGATAAAAAAATGATATTTTTCAATATTTGACTGTATTGATCCTCTAAGGTATTGGTGATTGGTTTAAGTTGTTTTCAAATATCCTTTGAAATAAATAAAAGATTTATAAATGTTTAATTCACAAAATTTTCAAGCCCTATAAAGTAATATTCATTGCATCAGTAATAAGTAGTTAAATGTTGAAGTTACTTGTAATAAAACAATAATCTTACTGGGTACTATTATAACAATTATGTGTTTTCTCAGGGTGATATAGAAAATGTAAAATTGCTGTTAGATACTGACTATGAGATGAAAGTGGTGGCAGCGACGACGCAAGGATTCAGATATGGTGTATTTGGACGGAGACCCTTACATTCAAACAGACTAAGGGGAACACATGGAGCTGTTCCACCAGTGTCATTTGGATTATATAAAAGTAATGTAAAATAGGTTATTTTCACTCAGAATTTATTTTTGCTGTGGCAGTTAAAATAAAATCCAGCACATATACCGATACCTATTTTCAAGTATTTTACATTTAACTCATAAAAAATCAGCAATAATAAATTTCATACAAAACATTGCAAACATTTTTTGGGGGGTAATTTCAATATATGCATTTTATTTGTTTTTGAGTGTTTTGTCATCATGCGACTATGTCATAGCAGTTATTCTCTCTGTAATGAGTAGATAACAATAACTAAGTAGTTTAATAATCCAAACGGCATATAACATTGTCATTGGGCTCAAAGTTCAATACTGTATTTGCTCTATGACCAGTCACATGGATGGAATAACAATTACCGGTAGATAGCATTTAGATGCTAATCTGTGGAACGAACATCATGTTTTATTCATGTTTTATTCCTTGATTGAATGATTTACTGCTCAGTGTAATGCAAAGCCAATCATATATGGTAAAATGTTTGATAATAATAAAAATGTCTTATTTCAGGTGTTAGTGATGATAACAGTAATGAAGACTCTGACAATGAAGATGAAGATGAGGATGAGGAACATGAAGAATCAATGGAGGAAGAGGAGGAAGAAGAAGAGAAAGACAAAGGTAACTTATATTCTCTGATCTGATCTAGTATTGTAAATATGTGTAACAATGAATTGTAGTCACAGAATATTGACTCTTATGTGCAAAACACCAATCATGTTGCTTGGTGTGATATAAGACTTAATGCAGGAAACCAATCATGTTGCTTGGTTTGATATGAGACTTAATGCAGGGAACCAATCATGTTGCTTGGTTTGATATGAGACTTAATGCAGGAAACCAATCATGTTGCTTGGTGTGATATGAGACTTAATGCAGGAAACCAATCATGTTGCTTGGTGTGATATGTGACTTAATGCAGGAAACCAATCATGTTGCTTGGTGTGATATAAGACTTAATGCAGGGAACCAATCATGTTGCTTGGTTTGATATGAGACTTAATGCAGGGAACCAATCATGTTGCTTGGTGTGATATAAGACTTAATGCAGGGAACCAATCATGTTGCTTGGTGTTATATAAGACTTAATGCAGGAAACCAATCATGTTGCTTGGTTTGATACGAGACTTAATGCAGGGAACCAATCATGTTGCTTGGTGTGATATAAGACTTAATGCAGGAAACCAATCATGTTGCTTGGTGTGATATAAGACTTAATGCAGGAAACCAATCATGTTGCTTGGTGTGATATAAGACTTAATGCAGGGAACCAATCATGTTGCTTGGTGTGATATAAGACTTAATGCAGGGAACCAATCATGTTGCTTGGTGTGATATAAGACTTAATGCAGGGAACCAATCATGTTGCTTGGTTTGATATGAGACTTAATGCAGGGAACCAATCATGTTGCTTGGTGTGATATGAGACTTAATGCAGGAAACCAATCATGTTGCTTGGTTTGATATAAGACCTAATGCAGGGAACCAATCATGTTGCTTGGTTTGATATGAGACTTAATGCAGGGAACCAATCATGTTGCTTGGTGTGATATAAGACCTAATGCAGGGAACCAATCATGTTGCTTGGTTTGATATGAGACTTAATGCAGGGAACCAATCATGTTGCTTGGTTTGATATGAGACTTAATGCAGGGAACCAATCATGTTGCTTGGTGTGATATGAGACTTGAGACAGGGAACCAATCATGTTGCTTGGTGTGATATGAGCCTTAATGCAGGGAACCAATCATGTTGCTTGATGTGATATGAGACTTGAGACAGGGAACCAATCATGTTGCTTGGTGTGATATGACACTTGAGGCAGGGAACCAATCATGTTGCTTGGTGTGCTGACCAAAACTAACCAAATGACCTGGACTTTATACCAAAAGCATTGGCTTGCTCTATGATTATCAAGTATAATATTCAGATAAGTAATACTTGTATTTTTACTTCATCAGATGAGAAGAAAGAAAAATTTGAAAAGAAGAGCAGTGTGGACTTGGCAGCAGTGGACAATCAGGGACGGACTGTTATGCACCATATAATGAAAACATGTGACTTTGGTACTTATGAAAATACCGATATTTTACAATTATTATTTGATGTTGGAGCTGCATTAAATGTGAATGATGATAAAGGCAAGAGTCCACTGGATTATGCCTTAAATAGTCATTCTGTGAAGATGGCCACGATGATACAGAAACTATTAAAATCGGATGTTTTGGTAAGTGATATAAAATTTATATGAGAATTTTTTAGCTCCACTGTCGACAAAGTCGACACAGCGGGGCTGTTCATATTACTGATTGACCGTTGGCATGCGTCGTCTGCGTCAACTTTACAATTTCAACTTCTTCTTCAAAACTGCAAGTCAGAATGTTTTCAAATTTGATATGCAAGTACCTTGGATGGTTCTTTCTCAGATTTGTTCATCGCATGTCAAAATCTCAAATTCGCTATTTTTGGTGAATATTTTTGTCATTTTTGGTAAAAAGTGATATTTTCGACTTCTTGTAAAAAACCTCAAGTCCGATTACTTTGATATTACATATATAGGTACTACATGTGCACCTCTCTCAGATTTATTCATTTCGTGATGATATCTTTAATTATCTAATTTTGGTGAATATTTTTGTCATTTTCGGTAAAAAGCAATATTTTCGACTTCTTGTTAAAAATCGCAAGTGCGATTGCTTTGATATTGCATATATAGGTACTACATGTGGACCTCTTTTAGATTTGTTCATTTCGTGATGATATCTTCAATTCTCTAATTAATTTATTTTGGTGAATATTTTTGTAATTTTTGGTAAAAAGTGATATTTTCGACTTCTTGTTAAAAACTGTAAGTCTGATTGCTTTGATACTATTCATATTGTTCATTTTCTAATGATGTCTTCACTTCTTTAATTGAAATGTGCATTGCTAACAGCGGAGCTATCTCAGCCGACAGGCTGCTTGTTTGTAAAAGTGATATTTTCAACTTCTTGTTAAAAACCGCAAGTCCAATTGCTTTGATACTATACATATTGTTCATTTTCTAATGATATCTTCTGTTCTTTAATTGTAATATGCATTGCTAACAGCACCGTTAATAGAAAGTTCTTCCTAGAACTTGTAGGTTTTTCTGTACTGTGATGAAACCTGATTCTACCTATCACCCACCTACTGTAAAACCATTTATTTTCACTGATATTTAATCTCACTATTTTAATTTTTTTATCATATTCACTTGGTATTAAGTTAACAAATTTTCCAGCAATAAAACAATGAGTTTTTTTTTTATATATTTTTATGTGAATTAAATTGAGCGAATTTTATTTGTGAAACCCAGTTAATAATTAATACATTTACAGTATTCTGTTAAACACTTTAAACATCAACTAACTTTGTCACATTCCACAAAATAAATCTACCGGTATGTAATTTTTGATTTGTTTTCCAAAATGCAGTTCGGGGCATGTAGCTAATGGAAGTTTGTTAAAAATTAACAAAAAAATTATAGAAAAATGCATAAAAATAATGTCCATAATAATGTTGATGATTAAAAATTTTGAATTACTGTAAATTTGTTGGCAATGTTTATACTGTGTTATATAGCATTAGTTGTGATGTGCTTTTCTAATCATGGTATTCTGTGTTATTATTTGACAGGTCAAACCATCGGTAGTGGTAGAGAGCTGCAATGATGGCATCAAATGGGATACGGAGATGCCAGATTTTCGTGAAGATGCCCAACAGATGATTAAAGAATACACTGAAGCGGAAACCACTGAGATGGAAGTGGAAGAGACCAAAGAGAAAGAAGAAAAAACTGATGAAAGCGGCGATAAGAATGATAATGCAGAAGAGACTGTGAAAAAACCAACAACAAAGAAAGTTCCAATGGCTGAAATTGACAAGTTATCAGAACTTCAGAACAATGGGTAGGTTATTTACATAATAAGGGAATGAAATTGATGTGTGTGGTTTGAAGGTTTGGATGTCCACCAAGCATCTGGGAGATTGCATGGTCAAATCTTGTCTTCATATATCTATTTAGCAGAGGGAAACAAAAATGATTACATTCTGCCTACGAGACAGAATCTTGCTATCAAATGACGTCAAGTTAGTGGGGATGTAGCATGTAAAAAAATAATATAAAGGGACAAAGTAGATGCTCTGTAACACTGACATGTAACATCTGTGCTGTCCATTTCAAAATCACGTATGAAGATAAAGTACGCACAACATACATGTACTAGTCGAACATGAGGTTGGTGAGTCGGTGGTGAAACTAATATTATTATTTTTATTTCAGTGAGGTGTTAGTAGACAAGTCTCAGGGTATACCTTATGATGTACTACTTACCAAAGTAGATGTTAACTATGGTAAATGGGGAATGAACAACTTTTATAAAATGCAGGTTAGTTGAACATTGTGCACCAATGTAACTAAACTGTGATTGAAAACAGATATTCTGTTGAAACAGACATGTTGTCATGGTGTGTCATTGTCAAGAACAGAAAGAAATAAAGCTATGTATTGAGTTGACAATGTCTGTTTCTTACAATGCAGACTTTCTATACTTTTGGTAAGTGATGATATAAAGTCACATTTCACAAAACATATTTTTTGTGTTTTGTAGTTAATACATCAGAAAGGCAAAGAAATATATGTGCTCTTCACACGGTGGGGTCGCATAGGTGACGAAGGCAACTTTCAACGAACTCCTTTTCAAAAAACAGAAGACGGGATTAGAGAATTTTGTAAAATTTTCAAATCCAAGACTGGAAATCTCTGGTCTCAAGTCTCAAGGTAAAGCTGGTCATTGGAAAAGATAATTCTGTTTTTCTAGCTTAGTATGAATAATATCAACCTTTCACTGTGTGTTTGCCGTGTCCAATCATGTAAACAAAAATATAAGAAACTTCTCTAAAATACAGGCCACATATTTTGACAGCTATTACGCATGAATTTTAAATTTCAAACAAATCTTTTATTTAGTATGGCCCAATTACTAATTCAAGAGACATTAAGTTAAAAGCTTGTTAATTTCATGTTGTTTTCATGCTATTACGCATGAATTTTAAATTTCAAACAAATCTTTTATTTAGTATGGCCCAATTACTAATTCAAGAGACATTAAGTTAAAAGCTTGTTAATTTCATGTTGTTTTTTGCTTTTCATAGTTTTGAGAAGAAACCGAAGAAGTACTCTTTAGTGAAGTCTGAGAGGAGGAGAATTCAAAAGAAGACATTAACAGAGTTGGATATTAATTTAAAATCGGACATTCCTTCTAAACTTCCAGACGATGTGAAAGATGTATATGAACAATTGGTAAGTCAATGTCATGTGTGTGAAGGCTCAAAATACAGTCTTTGAGTTCACACAGTCTGTCCATTGGTCTATCACAATGTCATGTGTGTGAAGGCTCAAAATACAGTCTGTCCATTGGTCTATCACAATGTCATGTGTGTGAAGGCTCAAAATACAGTCTTTGAGTTCACACAGTCTGTCTGTCAATAAAACTTTGATTTGTTGTTGGCTGAATAAAATCTGTGTATGTTAATTAGCAAATTTGCATATTATTTTCAATGAGCAATGAAAGTATGAAGTTAATTTAAATTTATAATATTAATGTGACTTTTACAGACCAGTTTTAGTATGTTAAAAGCAGCATTGAGGAATACTAATGTGAACACCTCATATATGCCATTTGGAAGGATTCCCAGAGATGTGCTGGAACAAGCTAGAGAAATTTTAAATCGAATAAGGTAAGAAACTGAATTGTCAGAAATCACATACATTGGTGATATTGGGTTTAGAGGTTGGTGGGGAAACAATCATTATGATATTGGATGGAGAGGTCAGTGGAGAAAATAATTATTACTGTAAATTACTTTTATGACACCACACAACAATGTAAATGATAAAACGTAATTTATTTTGGCAAAAAGAGGGGCACACTGTGGGACAACTCTGTACTCAGCCCGCACAAGCTGAAAGCAAGAACTTAGTCCTCGCTTGGAATTTAATTTACGCTATTTTCCCTGAAGGAATGATTCAGTGAAAATAAAATCCAGCAAATATACTTTTTTTCCTGTATTTTCCATTCAACACGTCAAAAAACAGTGAAAATAAAATCCACATAAAATAGTATTTCACAGTATTCAATCACAATCAGTCATTGGATGGTGAGGTCAGTGGATGGATTAATTAATTATTCATTATGGCATTTTAGGCCATTAGTTGATGAAGTTGAAAAGCAACAAGATGAAGGTTTTCCTGATCTACATCAATACCAAGAAACTATGGAAAAAGTAAGTTTTGCTTATAATGACTTATTTCTTTTATAATCAACCATATTAATCACAGAAACACAATTGATTCAGTGAAAAGTTTTCACAAGTTATTATAATTGCTTTCTTTGTATTACTTGTATAAAGTTACTCCCTGTGTGATTACATTTCATTTGATGCAGTATGACTGACATGACTCATGTCTTATCCTTCCAGGTGGCTGATCTGAGTAGTGAATATTTTCAGCTGGTACCCTCGGCCAATTACGTCTACGAAGAGTTAACACCATTAAATGAACCAGATGCATTAAAAGCAGAAGTCAATAAAATTAATAATTTACTTGACCTTGAAGTTGCAAGCCGGGTATTGCTTGGTGCACAGCTGAAAGCAAAAGGTAATAAAATTGAAGGGCGATGGTTGTTGTGCAATGTTCAGTTCGATATGGGACTCATAGCGACGTATACAACACATGTAAAATACATTGTTTATTTACATGAAATTCAAACACAACCACAGCCCTTTAACATTGCTATCTCTGATGATCATCCTACAATAAAAACAGCATTGGCCAAATATTTGTACGAGGTTGAAGTGCTAGTTGTCAAATCTGTTATTTTTATCTTTCAGAAATAAATCCTTTAGATTATGTATATAGAAGTACTGACTGCCAAATGAAGGTGCTTGATAAACACAGTTTAGAGGCCCAACATATTTTAAAATATATTCAGAATACATGTTCAGGTGAGTGTTATGTGAGCTAATCATTTCAATGTGAACACTATAATGCTATTTCCTATGTCTGAGTATGCAACAAAAACAGGGCTTCTCCCAGGAGCCTCTTTCTGAGTTCATTTAAAACGCCTCTCCCACAGAAAACTATGAGGGTGCTAGACTATTATAAGGAATACTGTGCAGTGATTATATTGACAGACATATAATGCAGGTCATTGTGACCCTTTACTACCGGAAGTACTCTTCTAATTACATTATTTCACATCTTTAGCTCCGCTGTCGACTTTGTCGAGCGGAGCTTATCATATGAGTGATTGTCCGTCGTCCATGTCTATGTTTTACTTTTTCGACTTCTTCTTGAAAACTACAAGCCTGAATGCTTTGATACTTGGTGTATATGTACCTTGGGTAGACCTCTCTCAGATTTGTTCATTTCATGATCATATTTTCAATTCTCTAATTTTGGTGAATATTTTTGTAATTTTTGGTAAAAAGTGATATTTTCGACTTCTTGTTAAAAACCGCAAGTCCAATTGCTTTGATATTACATATATAGCTACTACATGTGGATGTCTCTCAGATTTGTTCATTTTGTAATGATATCTTTAGTTCTCTAATTTTGGTGAATATTTTTGTCATTTTTGGTAAAAAGTCCAATTGCTTTGATATTACATATATAGGTACTACATGTGGATCTCACTCAGATTTGTTCATTTTGTAATGATATCTTTAGTTCTCTAATTTTAATGAATATTTTTGTCATTTTTGGTAAAAAGTGATATTTTCAACTTCTTGCTAAAAACCACAAGTCCAATTGCTTTGATATTAAATATATAGGTACTACATGTGGACCTCTCCCAGATTTATTCATTTTGTAATGATATCTTTAATTCTCTAATTTTGGTGAATATTTTTGTCATTTTTGGTAAAAAGTGATATTTTCTTCTTGTTAAAAACCACAATCATTTATGGTGAAAAATTATATTTTTGAATTCTTGTTGAAAACAGCAAGTCCCATTGCATTGATACTATGCATATTGTTCATTTTCTAATGATATCTTCTGTTCTTTAATTGAAATGTGCATTGCTAACAGCGGAGCTATCTCAGCCGAGAGGCTGCTTGTTTTCTGATTATAGTCATAATTTAGTGAGTGACAACAATATTTTACAAGATTCATGTCTGAACTATTGTTTTTGTTCATTGACAAGCTTATATTTTCGACTTGCACTACATTGTAGCTGAGACCAGGTGTTTTATGTGGCGCATATTTTCCAAAGAGGAAGACATCCATTGTACATTCATTGGGTGTGTGTGTGTGTGTGTGTGTGTGTGTGTGTGTGTGTGTGTGTGTGTGTGTGTGTGTGTCCGTCTGTTCCACTGATATCTCAAGAACCATGCATCGGTTTTTGATGAAACTTGGTGCATAGATGCTCTGGACCAATGCGCAGATTTGATTAGGTTTTTAGTAAAAATCTGTGCATATTAATTACCTAATTTGCATGATAATTAGCTCATTTTTAGCTGTTCCATGACTGTTCCACTGATATCTAAACCACTGATATCTAAACAACCACTTATTGAATTTTGATGAAACTTGGTACATATATGATCTGAACTTATGCGCAGATTTGATTAGTTTTTAGTAAAAATCTTTGCATACTGATTACCTAATTTGCATGATACTTAGCTAATTTTTACCTGTTCTGTGCCTGTTCCACTGATATCTAAAAAAGCACTCATTGGATTTTGATGAAACTTGGTTCATTGATGCTCTGAACTAATGCCAGTGTTTGATTAGTTTTGGGTGAAAATCTGTGCATATTAATTACCTAATTTGCATAATGATTCGTAAATTTTTTGCTTTTCCACTGATATCTCAACTACTAATCATCACATTTTAATGAAACTTCGTACCTAGATGTCATAGGACACTCCACAGACCTAGTAGTTTTTAGGGTAATATTAGTACATATTAATTACCTAATTTGCATAATAGATTAATTTTCAAGTACTAAGCATTACATTTCATTGAAACATGGTACATAGATACTCAAGCACTCTGCAGAGATTGATTGTTTTAGGATGAATATTTGTGCATATTAATAACCTAATTTGCATAATTAGTTAATTTTCGTATGTATGTCTCAAGTACTAATCAAGACATTTCAATAAAACTTGTTACATAGGACTATGCAGAGATCTGATTAGTTTTTGGGTAAATAATTGTGCATATTAATCACCTTATTTGCATAATTGATGAATTTTCAACTTTCACACTGATATCTCAAGTACTAATCATCACATTTCAATGAAACTTTGTACATAGATGCTCTAGGACAATGTACAAATATGACCAGTTTTAGGTTAAAATCTGTTCATATATCTGTTCCCTAATTAGCATAATAATTCATAATTGTTTGGTTCTGATCACATTTCAATTAAACTTGGTACATAGATGGTCTGTTACATTGCGCAGACCTTATTAGTTTTACACTCTGTTCATTTTAATTTCCTGATTTGCATAATTCGTTTTCAGCTTTTCCATCAATATCTCAAGTACAAGTAATTTTGAATTAATTTTTACTGCGTCTCTAATACTCTCTCAGCACACGGGAGTTCTTTCTAAGCTTTCTTTGATATGTTTGTTTATGATTCCATTGCACTCATCATGTGCGAATTCCATCTTGTATTCCTTTGCAGGCAGAGTCAGAGTACAGGGTATATTTACTTTACAAAGACAAGGTGAAGCAGAGAAACTTAATAACTGCGATCTTGACAATCACATGTTACTTTGGCATGGTACAAGTCCTGCCAATCTTATTAGCATACTCATGAAAGGGCTGTTAGTGGCACCAGCTGAGGCTCCAGTTACCGGATATATGTTTGGAAAGGTACATTTAGTATCTTCATTTTATATTTTATTTGATATGTATTATAAATTATTACATGCATGATCTTATCCATTAAGCTTTCAATTGAGGTTCAAAGATAGATATTATTCCCTTGTGTAATGTAAACTGCAGCTAGCATGTCCATATGTATAATATATAGTAGACAATATTTGGTAATCGTAACTAAAAGTAACTATTCAATATACTTTTGAGCAATTGATCTTTATCTTCTATGCTACCGATGAAGAGCCATCGCTTATAGTTACTTTGGACAATTACCAAATATTATCTACTATATGTCATATTTATCGGCCCGAATACAATTTATTTATTTTCCATTGATATCAATTTTTATATTTGTCAAGTCTTTGGTAGTAATCATAGACCCTAATATTGATAGGTAATTTTACAAATCATGATCATGAGAAATTTCATTTGACTGAATATTTTTTATGAAAGCAAGGCTGTAATAGGTGTGCTATGATCTTGTTTTTCTTCTAACTATTTTTTACTTTTTAGGGAATTTATACCTCAGATACTTTCCAGAAAAGTGAAGCTTACTGTCATTCATATGGATCAAAGAGTTTATCAAGCAAATTTATGTTGTTAACAGAGGTAAGTTATAGCTCGTAAAACTGTAATAATAACCAAGTATGTAACCATGTGATAATAACCAGGTATGTAACCATGTGATGATAACCAGGTATGTAACCATGTGATAATAACCAGGTATGTAACCATGTGATAATAACCAGGTATGTAACCATGTGATAATAACCAGGTATGTAACCATGTGATAATAACCAGGTATGTAACCATGTAAGAATAACCAGGTATGTAACAATGTGATAATAACCAGGTTTGTAACCATGTGATAATAACCAGGTATGTAACCATGTGATGATAACCAGGTATGTAACCATGTAAGAATAACCAGGTATGTAACAATGTGATAATAACCAGGTTTGTAACCATGTGATAATAACCAGGTATGTAACCATGTGATGATAACCAGGTATGTAACCATGTGATAATAACCAGGTATGTAACCATGTAAATAATAACCAGGTATGTAACATGTAACATAGTTAAAGATGAGGATCACTTTGTTCTATGTCTGCCGTTGCTGTGGCAAGTTATTACCAAACTTCACATATTTGGTAATAAATGGACTGGGAATACACAAGGGAGCAAAAACACCTGGGATTAAAACTAACCAGTTCTTCCACATACTCATTGTATTTAGATGCATGGTTGTAGGATATCACATATCAGTTGGTCTATAGCCTTTTAAATTCTTTTTGTATTTCGTAGGTTGCACTTGGTAAAGTGAAAGAGTATACAGACTGTTGTTACATGGAGTCTGCAGCCAAGGGATCAAATAGTACCAAAGGTTTGGGTGAATATGGACCAGATAGTAAACACAACTTGTTAACTCCATCAGGTATGTTGTTCTGCATGGCTACCAATATGAAATGATTGATCAGATTGCTTTGATGTTGACACTACGGTTTTATATTATGCTGTGTTGTTTGCAGTGGTCGCTAAAACACAGGTCAAACCTTCTTTTCTTGGTTACATATAGTGATACAATTGTATGTCCTTGGTGTTTACAGTCATTAGCATATTCTGATAATTACTTGTTTCAACAAAGTTCATTTTTGTAGCTTTCAGGCAGTTTTACTCCAATATTTCTTAATAGCGAAAAAAAAAAAAAAGTAGATTAAAATCAATAATTATATGACACAAAAAATTGTGGTAATTTTGTCACTCCTATTTTTATGTTTGAATTCTCATGGTCTATCTTCAATAATATTGTCTTTATAGTTGTATCTGTTTAAAGTGTTCAGTGCAACAGCTTTGATTCAGACATCAAAAACAATGAATCATCTCATATACTAGAGCAGAGCTTTTCCAATACATGCCATTACCTAGTTGTCCCCACATGGCAGTGCTCTTCCTGTCAAAATGTTGGTGCAATATTTTATTAGTCCCTGTTCGGACGAAGTCCGAAAACGGGGACTTATAATTCGTGCGTCCGTGTGTCCGTGCGTCCGTCCGGAGTCATATCTCAGAATCCCTTGGACCGATTCCGTTCATTCTTTGCATGTGCCTAGTACTTTATGTGGGACATATGCACATGCAGTGGTTTAGCGATTTGATTCAAAATGGCCGACTGGCAGCCATCTTGTTTTTTGAAAATGTTGTATTTTGGACATGCTTTGTCAGTTTTCATTCAAACTTGGTACATAGATTATACATGTTAGGATACATGTCCATGATGATTTATTTCACAATTGGATCAAAGATGGCCGACTGGTAGCCATCTTGTTTTTTGAAAATGTCGTATTTTGGACATGCTTTGTCAGTTTTCATTCAAATTTAGTACATAGATCATACATGTTAGGATACATGTCCCCGACCATGT